GAATTCATTTTCGCAATATCACTTAAATTCTATTGGTCTAATATTCGTTCGCTCGTTCGTTCGCTTGTTCGCTTGTTTGCTTGCTTGTTCGCTCGCTTCACGTGATATAATCTTTATCCAATAAGATATGAGATATTTATAATTCAATAAAATATTATGACGAAAGATCATTATACAACAATACTGGGCATAACGATCCCTCAATAATATCGTAGTAATCAAATTTTTCAGTAATAAATGTTTTATATAGATCAGAATATTGCAACAATGTCTTATGCATGGTCATGAGTTGGATTAGATGATACACTTGCCTTGATTGATTTCTCTGAACTCATTTCATTATTATCTTTATCAACGTTATCATTATCAGAAGATTCCTTATTATCATCTTCATTCTCATCATCGTTATCATTATCAAAGGGTTCCTTATTATCGTCATCATCCTCATTATCGTTTTCATTTTCTGGAGATAAATCGGATGATATACTTATCTTAATGCTTGATGAATTGTTTAAACTAGATTGTTCAGTAGGTATACTTACCTCAATGTTTGATATGTCATTTGAACAAGATGATTTGGTCGTTTGTGCGTGAAGAATCTTCACACTGATCACTTTTTGACATTCAGTTTGCTCATTAACTAATTCTACATTGGGTTTTTCAGAGAAAAGCTTTATTATATTTTGTATTTGAGCATCAGTTAAACTAGAAATAGCATCAGCACTATATGTAACTTGCTTGATTTTATCTATTCCTATTTCTTTGAACAATGTATAAATATTTCTAGCCTTTTAAGTTTTCTTATGCAAATACTCTCTCTTAATTCCTGGAAGAAATGGTTCCATTTCATTATAGATCTGTGTTCTCGCCATTTGATCGTTAAGTTCGTTTTTAAAGCTAATGTCTCTTACCTTTTTTTTGAATTCTTCACTATAACAATACCAATGTAAAATTTCTTTCTGGTCAGTTTTTTTAGTCTTGTCGAATAAATGGACCAAATGTGATGCAGAACCTGAAGTTGAATCATCTCCATCTAGCATGTTTTCAAGAATTTGTCTATCAGGTATGGAATTCAAAAGGCTTTTCTCATTAATAAATGTAGATAACTCACATATTAAACCTTGTTCATCCTTTTGATTATAGGAAATTTTTATTTTGGAAGAAATAGCACTTTGTTTCTGATTGGATGAAAAGATAATAGACGATTTAGATTCTGAAGAAGAAAGCTTTGTATCTTGAATATTTAGATCTTTATAAAGTAATGACTTCTCTGCTTCAGATATGGGAACATTCTTATTTAGTGATATGGAAATCTTAGGAATAGTATTCTCGGGAGTTGAGAGTAACTCTTGATCTCGAGACTTCTTGATATTTTTGATTATCTCTTTTCTAACTGTTTCTCTATGCTTTGAATCCAGGAATTCATTTTCTTCCTTCTCTTTCAATGATATGGTTTCTGCAGGAGATGTGGGGGTTACTGATGAAGCAAAACTTCGAGTCTCCGACTCTTCCTGGTATATATCCAAATTAGATGTGTTAGACTCCACATTATGTGAGATTATCTATTCATGAGTATCGTTAGAATTTAAAGTTTTATCGGTTATATCAGATGATGGATCATTAGAATTTAAAGTTTCAGTAGAGACATCGTTAGAATTTCTTATTTCAGTGAAGATGTCATTAACTGAAGATTGATTGGTATCTTTGTATGATTTAGATATGCTCGTTTCTTCAGATACGATAGTATCCTCACTCCGTGAGTCATTTTGCGATTTCTTCCATTCCAATTTTGAAACTCTGGATCTAAGCTTGTTGTGCTCGGCATCTCTTAATTTCGCATTCTCTGCACTTTCTTTTGTGGATCATTCTAATTCTATGATTCTAGCCATAAGCAAATCTTTCTCTCTTCTAAGTTCGGGAATCTTGGAATTCTCCTTTTTAAGCTCAGCAATCTCGGCTATAAGCTTGGAATTTAATTCTCTCAATGAGGAGACAGAGTCTTGAGTTTCTAACTCATCAACTTTGGATTGTTTGTTTGTCATTTTTTATATAAAATACAGATATATTCAATTAGACATAATCGTGTGCGTGAAGATTCTTCACACTGATGCCAAGAAAAATTCTCGATCATATATACATGTCATCATTATCAATATGTATTGTACATCAGAAAAAATTTTATTATTATATGTAAAAATAAATACATGTGAAGCGGAAAACTATCTATCCACTATTTTTTGGTAATTTTTTCTCGTATGCGACGCCTCTTGCTTTCAGGTTCATCACATGCAGTTACTCTATCCTTCAATAACTCTACAATTATACTGATTATCTGTTTTATATCTTCCCTCAGATTTTCTTGATTACCTTTAAGCGTCTTTTTCGTAAGATTTATTTGATATTCACTATTGCTTGTACAAAAAATTCCTTCAGAAGTGAACATGATAAAATGCCAATCCGCACCTAAAATAAATCAGATATTTAGCATAACTACTTTTGGTAAAAAATCCAGCATATGTGAGTACGTAATGTGATAATAGAAAATTTTTCACATACCCGTTGACACAATCCCATATAGATAGTTATAATCCTCAGCCTTAAATGCTTCATCTGCAGTTCGTTTCTTCTTGTTCATGTGGAAGAAACTCTTGAGTTGTTTTATATTTTGGAGATAACCAATCTTAACATTTCGTGGCTTATCCTCAGTGATGCACAAAAGATTCTCCATCCCTGTTATGGCATAATCAACTTTACCAGATGCTTCTTCATCTGAAATATCCCTCTGCAATTCTATATTGATTTCTTTATCCGTTAACCTCCGTGTGATAGCAATTGATACGTGTAATATAGATGAAATAAATTCACAACGGGTCACCTTGTTGGCCTCTATCATTGATTTTACATTCATTAACCATAGTAGTATTTCATTCATACACTGTTCGAGTATCTTATCATTGTCATCGATTTTTACGGAATCTATAAACAGAAAAAATGAATTAATATATGTTTGGATTTTTGATCATGAATTTATCAAGAAATTTACAAAACCACGCGGTCCCGGAAAATGAAATGCCAAGAAAAAAATGCCACATACCCAGATTGAATTGTTTGATGCTAGTTATATCCTCACTATTAATCTTATATTTGCGGAGTACGTCCTTTAGTTCTTCTAGAGTTTTATAGGAGGAGAAGCCTCTTAATTTTTGCTCTGATATCTCTTCGATGAAATCAACGAGAATAGTTGCCAGTTCACCCTTCAAGCCATAGCTACAGAATTGTTCATATGTTGTCTTGAAAAAGGCATGACCAGAAATCTTCTTCTTTCATAAGATTTTAAAATGTGTCTCCTTAAGTTTTAGATCCCATCTTTGCAAATAATCAATAAGTTCTTCTGTGTCTAGATCTTTCACAATGTCTGCCATTGTTCTAGTTGATCTTTCTTCAGTCAAAGTGGAGGATGTAGAAATGGGTGAATCGTGTGAAGATATTTTTTTATAACAGTATATGACGTAAAGAATCTGATTTATGCAGAAGCTAGAAAATTTTTTCGTGAGATCAGTGGCTTTTTATAGTACAGGTTACAAAGTTGGCAGACATATGATGATCTCAGAAATTGCAGAGATTTTGACTTTCCAAGACATAAGTCCCTTGTTATACGCACTAATGAAGATTGATGATCTACTTCTCCTTATCATCTTTTTGAGATTTGTTTTTGCTGGTTCTTATCGTGAAATATAAGTGTTTTCTCAAATTATGATAACGAAAAAAGATTTATGCATATTTCACGAACTTCTATGCCAATCACTAATTTGTAGATTTAAAACACATGATACCGCTCGTGTGATCTATGTACAATGAGCTTATCAATCTTCACTACTTGTTTTCCCAGATCATCGAGATCATTACATCGTAGGAGAGATCGTTGAATTTAAGAAGCGTTTTACCGAAGGTGATCACAGGTAAAATCTGACTCACATTAAGTGATTAACTGAAAAAATGACAAAAATATATTTGGTTTTGGAATAGATTTAACAGCTCTGGATGATATAAAATACAAGGTTTTTTTCTCTTGTAAGGCAGGTCCCAATAACATTTTTTACTCATACATTTTTTTTGAAAAATAACTGCAATGGAAGGAGAACTCTATATTAAACTCAATAAATAAATTCTCTTATTGATTTTATTAGCAAAATCATGATATTAATGCTAGATTTTTAATTATCTTTTTTCATAGTAAAGGTAAATAATATTTACCTTGCTGTTCACGATGAAGGTAAATCATGATTATTTAATTATTTTTCAATTTATATATCTTATTACATATTTTTATCCTATACATATTTATAGACAAGTTCAAAAGTCAAATGATTTGGATTCCTGAACAACATACAAGAGAAGGGGTAAAATTAGAATTAGTATTTAAAAAAGCTGGAGGGGAAGGATTTCAAAGTGATGCTAGTGATGGAAATATCCCAAGGGGATAATATAAATTTCTTATTCTTTTTTATGTTCTGACATCAATTTTTTAAATAAAGAGATCCCGTTATATATGCGAATTTACATATGACATTGCTCATTCTGAATATATCATGTATTGATCATGCTTTATTAAAATTTTCTTGGCAATATTTCAGCAAACAAATCACCAGAAAAAGTTTATCCAAAATCACATGTTTATTCTGATTGGATGGGTTACTACTCTGAAGAATAGGACTTATTATGAAGCTTATTTCTACGATGTTTTCAGATAGGAGAGTCAACCTTTTTCTTTTTAATATGAACATGATTCTTTCAGGATTTTATTGGATCAAGATCATATCAGTCTGAACCTGTGGATTCTGAATTGGAGCTGGATAAATTAGTCTCTATAGATAATTTCTTAAACATATCTATAAACTTCTCTAAATTTAAATCAGGTTTATTCTCATCAAAGGCAGTTATATAATGTTTAGACTTTCTTTTTTTCTTTTGAGGGCAACTGCGGAAATTGAATTTAGATGAGGAAATAAAGCTTTGAATTGGAGGTTTATCGATTTCTGTTTCAGAATCAGATAAGTTATTTTTACTAGAGCTGGCTTTATTACTATTTTCTTCGATTAATGGGATACTCATATCATCGATTACAATTTTAGTATAAAAATCATTGATTTCAGAAGAGAATCTGAAAACTATTTTTGCTTTATACATCCATAACCAATCTCTCTCTAATACCAAATCAAATAATGAATTTTTGCGAATTTGAAAGTCTATTACTTCAGTACCATCTAAACTTTGCCACTTTTCTTTATATCGAAATTGCAAATCTAAGCATTTTATTTCTTTACCTATCAAATCATTACTAGATATACCTTCTAACCCATAATCTTCTTCAAGCTTATTATACAAGTGCTTACTAATAGTATTGGATTTAGATGTTGTATCGATTAATACTTTTACTGGGATTTTTTCCTCTAAGATTATTTTTATGAAAACCATATTAAATATTATTTAATGATATATATTATAACTGAAAAAATAATTACCCATTCTCTGCTACTACATAAAATTATTTGTAAACCATGAATGATTAAGATTAATCCTACCAATCTCTCTGATACAATTACTGAGTGCAGAAATAAAATTGATATTATGTATCTTGACACTAGCTCTGTTATTATCTTGTATCGTCCTAATTAAGGTTGCTTGCCGAAATCTCTTAGTGACTGTCTAGATTCTGTCGAAATTATAATAAACTATTAGTAAATAACCCGTCGAAATTCTGACGAATTTTGAAACCCGTCGTAACTGAAATTATGTCAAAATTCTAATTAACAATTAGTGTGTAACCCGTCGAAATTATGATGATATTTTTCTGAAAGGATTTAGGCAAACATCCTTAGTCCTAATTATAACAAGGAGAGATATGTCCATTTCAGAATCACTAAATTCAGACTCAGTCTCAGAATCTCTAGATTCAGACTCCATTTCAGAGTATTCTGAATCGTAATATTCATTTAGACTATCAAAGTCACATTTATGTTTAGAAAATTTGGTTATTATAGCTTCTTCATCTAACTCCATTACAATAAATTTAGAGAATAATAGCTTGTAAAATGTATGCAATGAAAGAGGTAATTCACAAATACTATTTCTTGCGTGATATTGACTTTTTTCTAATTCTTGTTCTTCAATATCTTTAGATTTATTAATATATAGTGGTGGTTTTTTATACCTGTCAACTCAATATCCTGTATGCATTAATCATACATATCCTAAAACCAAATCATATTCAGACTTGTCAACAACTACAAAATTTGCTATATCTATTTCCAAATATGAAGGGGGTACTATATTATCAAAGATATTTGGCAAAGTAATGGTAACTTTTTCTCTGTTAATCCACCCCCTCCTCATCACTTTCTTGTCAACATTTGTTGCATCAATATTAAGATCTATTACTGCAGGATATCTTGATCCATATTCTTTAGAAATATATAAATTCATTTTTTTGGCAAGTGTTTTACTAATACTACTGTGCTGGGACTTAGAGTCAATTAGCACTTTAACAGTTGTATTTTTATCAATGAATGTACAGTCCACTATTAATCTTTTACGAATTTCTTTAATTGCTTCAGTTTTCCATATATCATCTAAACTACAGCAATTTTTAAGATCTTGGATCAGAAGATACTTCGTTATGAATGGTATTAATTCTGGTGGAAGAAGATTAAGTAAATTAGGCATATATATTATTTATTTTCCGAATATTCTCAATCACGCTTAACTTTGCAACCAGCTCACCTAATGATAGGTCTGTTCCGCATCTTCTGGCTTCCATCTGATTAT